GGGAGAGGGGGAAGAGGAAGGGAGTGAGGGAAAGAAATCAGGAAGAGGGAGGAAAAGGAGGCGAGGGAGGAAAAGGAGGCGAGGGAGGGAGGAGAGAGAGGGAGTTCAACGTTTGGACCCGACGGAGCTCTCACAAGCAACGCCAGCAGGAGGAATCCTGCAAATAAGCGGAGCATGCAGCGGCCAGGTGACCTCCGTGCCAGTTTGTCATCCTTCCATCGCCCTCATTGACAGCGTGCAAAGTGTGGAATGCAAAGCTCGCCTAGCAGTGACCATTGCTTGCTACGTACGTGCACATGCCCGTATCCGTGTGCGCAGCATTATTCCCGGGGCTTGGGCACGTACGTACCTCTCATAAGCTACGCCTGTCAATCCGTCTTAGACACACCAGCTACCTACGTGCTACCGTATCGTTCGACTAGCCAGCTGCTCTGCCCAGCCCTTCGTGTGCTTGCCCCTCCCTGAGCGTTTCTGCTGGCCCCTGCACTGGCTGAGTTGCATATTACTGAGCCATCATTCATTAAGAGCACTGCATTGCTGGGTAACTCCCGTCTTTGTGCCCTGCTCGTTGTCGCCCGGCAGGTGTGCAAGGCTGCAATGGTGCTGGTCACATCGCGGGCGCCCATGGCTGGACCATCACCATCTGGCAGCAACAGCAGCTTTGTCGACCACCTGCTACGTGGCCTTGCTGATGGCTCCTGCCGCCAGCTGATTGCCTCGCTGTGGGCTGGTACCTCCCCACTAGCAGCGGCTGATGTGGACGCCCTGCTGGACATGTGCCGCGGGGTGCCGCTGCTGCTGCGCACGTGTGCGGATGCTCTGGCACATGGCAGAGTCACACTGGCGGTAGGTGCGGGGTGTTAAAACAACTGGCCGCGAGGCGGGGTGGCGTGTGTTGTGTGCGGGCGGCTCTCAGCTCCAGGGTGCTTCACTCGTCCACCCGCTGACTGCCCATCATCCACATGTTACATGTTCATATTGAACGCCTGCCGTACATGCCTAACCTGTTGCATTTGTCTTATCAGTTGCCACATATTGGTAAGTACTCTAAGCAGCATTCTTGCTGTCCTCTTGGCCCCAATGAGGAGCACGTGGAGCAAGTCCGGATGCTCGTGATGCTCACATACCTGTAATAAAGTACTGCACCCCAGGATAACGAGGTTTCATCATTCCATTGATTATCCACCCCGTTCGCCCCCACATTCACACACGTGTACACGCAGGCGTTGAAGGCTGCATCCACCAACACAAGCAATGTTAGCGCCGCTGCCATTCTGCAGCTCACCTTGGCCTCCCTGCCGCTGCCACAACAACTGCTCCTTGTCCAACTGTCCGTCTTCTCATCCCAATTTGAAGAGGAAACTGTCGCAGTAGTGGTGAGCGGTGACAGCAGCGATGCGTCACGCGTTCGTGCGCAGCTTGCGGTGTTGTACAGCCATGGCCTAGTGGTGCGAAATGCGGCTCAAAGCACATACAGCCTGCACATGGCTGTGCGCACCACTGCAGCGGGGCTGGGCACCGGGTTGGCCTCAGCAGCATCAGTAACAGGATCAGCCTCGGCCAGTAACGCCACCGACCAGCAACATCACCAGGAGTTCGCTAAGGCGTTGTTCTGTGCTCGTGAGCGGTTCTTAGGGCACATCATGGCCGTCTTTGCAGAGTGGGGCCGGTTGTACATGACGCCTGACGCTCTGTGGGCGCTGCGCCGAGCACGGCAGCGCGTGCTAGACTTCTTGACAGCGGTCCATATAGCAGCAGCAGAAACAGCAACAACACCAAAGCTGTTGGAGGTGATGCTGCAATCTGTGACCGACCAGTTGCTGTCATTATTGCAAGCTGTGGGTGGCGTCCTGACGCCCACATTCTGCAACATGTGGCACAGCATGGCGGCTGCAGCCATCACACTGTGTGATGGACCTGCTGGTCCTCCAGCACCTTGCCTTGCCAACTTTTATTCTATGTTGGCCATCTGCATCAAAAGCCAAGGCAAGTACAGCGAGGCAGAGCCCAAGTATTGGCTGGTGCTGGAGCTGCGCACCAAGGTGCTGGGCGCAGAGCACCCTCACACCATCACCTCCATGAACGGCTTGGCCAGCTGCATCAACAGCCAAGGCAAGTACAGCGAGGCAGAGCCCATGTACCGGCGGGCGCTGGAGCTGCGCACCAAGGTGCTGGGCGCAGAGCACCCTGACACCATCAGCTCCATCAGCGACCTGGCCAGCTGCATTTACAGCCAAGGCAAGTACAGCGAGACAGAGCCCATGTACCGGCGGGCGCTGGAGCTGCGCACCAAGGTGCTGGGCGCAGAGCACCCTGACACCATCAGCTCCCTTGACAACCTGGCCGGCTGCATCGACAGCCAAGGCAAGTACAGCGAGGCAGAGCCCATGTACCAGCGGGCGCTGGAGCTGCGCACCAAGGTGCTGGGCGCAGAGCACCCTGACACCATCACCTCCATCAACGGCTTGGCGAGCTGCATAGATAGCCAAGGCAAGTACAGCGAGGCAGAGCCCATGTACCGGCGGGCGCTGGAGCTGCGCACCAAGGTGCTGGGCGCAGAGCACCCTGACACCATCAGCTCCATCAGCGACCTGGCCAGCTGCATCAACAGCCAAGGCAAGTACAGCGAGGCAGAGCCCATGTACCGGCGGGCGCTGGAGCTGCGCACCAAGGTGCTGGGCGCAGAGCACCCTGGCACGATCAGGTCCATCAACAACCTGGCCAGCTGCATAGGCAGCCAAGGCAAGTACAGCGAAACAGAGCCCATGTACCGGCGGGCGCTGGAGCTGCGCACCAAGGTGCTGGGCGCAGAGCATCCTGACACCATCAGCTCCATCAGCGACCTGGCCAGCTGCATTTACAGCCAAGGCGAGTACAGCGAGACAGAGCCCATGAACCTGCGGGCGCAGAAGTATAGCGAGGCAGAGCCCATGTACAGGCGGGCGCTGGAGCTGCGCACCAAGGTGCTGGGCGCAGAGCATCCGGACACCATCCGCTCCCTCAACAACCTGGCCAGCTGCATTTACAGCCAAGGCGAGTACAGCGAGACAGAGCCCATGAACCTGCGGGCGCTGGAGCTGTGCACCAAGGTGCTGGGCGCAGAGCACCCTGACACCATCGCCTTCATCAACAACCTGGGCAGCTGCATCGACAGCCAAGGCAAGTACAGCGCAGCAGAGCCCATGTACCGGCGGGCGCAGGAGCTGCGCACCAAGGTACTGTGCGCAGAGCACCCTGGCACCATCGCCTCCATCAATTACCTGCCCATCTGCATAGGCTGGCAAGGCAAGTTCAGCGAGGCAGAGTCCATGTTCCGGCGGGCGCTGGAGCTGAACACCAAGGTGCTGGGCGCAGAGCACCCTAATACCATCTCCTTCCTCCACAACCTGGCCATCTGCATCAACAGCCAAGGCAAGTACAGCAAGGCAGAGCCCATCTACCAGCGGGTGCTGGAGCTGCGCACCAAGGTGCTGGGCGCAGAGCACCCTGACACCATCAGCTCCGTCAAGAACCTGGCCAGCTGCATTTACAGCCAAGGCGAGTACAGCGAGGCAGAGTCCATGTACCGTCGGGCGCTGAAGCTGAGCAACAAGGTGCTGGGCGCAGAGCACCCTGACACCATCGCTCTCATCGACGACTTGGCCAACTGCATAGAAAGCCAAGGCAAGTACAGAATGGTGTGTTCATGCTGGGGAGGCAGAGTAGGCGCTGGTGGATGTGCCAAATACCGGTAGTGTGTGCTAAACCTTAACATTTGTGTTTTGGCATGTAGTAAAGTGTGGACATTTCCCCGTATCTCAACCTGATGGTTCTCTGGCAGTATTTGTTGCTTGTACTGTGCACCTCAGGGTATGGTAGCTGAGCCGTGATGGAAGCTGACTGGTGTCCCAGGGTATCCCACAGTAGATGTATCCAGGTGCTCCAAGGATGTCAATAAAGACAAGGCTTACGTAATGTTGATTGATATGGCATGTTACTGTGTCCAGCGTGCTTGTACCCAGCATGTTCGTACGGTTGGTCTCTAGGTGGTCTGGCTACGAAAAGGTGCAACTGCAGATGTCAGGATCGTGAGTGCGCGGGCTTACACTCCCCCCGGGTGCGTCCTCGCACCCCACAACGTAGGGTGGGGCTAGGGGCCAGGGGCTAGGGTGGGGCTAGGCCAGGGGCGTGGGCGGGGCTAGGGGCCAGGGGCTAGGGTAGGATTAGGGGATAGGGACAAGGGGATCTGGAGGGGTAATAGTCAAGGTGCATTGTTGAAGCAGGCAAGGGATGCTGTGGTGATGCAGTAGGTGCTGCTGCTGCTGGTACTGATGGTGTAGGTGCTGGTGATTGCTGCTGACTCTTGGCAGTCCGGGGGCCAGGGGGCGAGCTAAGGCGGCTAGCTGCTGCCTGCTGGTTGCTGGGGGCCATCTGTCCTTGCTGTGCCGGCAGCTAACACTGCTGGCTCTCTGGGAACGGATGCTGCAGGCAGTTGTGGCTTTGTTGGGGCAGGGGGCTTGGGAGGTGCCCGGTGCAGGCTGGTGACGCCGTTGGTGGTTGTGTTGGTGTTGGTGGAATGGTACAAGCAAAGGCGGAAGCCGTGGGGGTAGCAGGTTGGGAGGGTGGTGGGGTTGGAGGTAGTGCAGGTGCTAGTGGGGGTGCTGGTTCTGCTGGGCGCTGGTTGCTGACTGCGCCAGCACTGCTGGCGGGTAGTGCAAGTACTTCTGCGGATGGTGCTGGTGCTGGTGATGTGGTGCGGCTGGCCACGGGGGGTGGCGGGGTTGTGCTTCTGCTGGCTAGTGCCGGTTGACTGCAGGGTGTACCTGGCTGCAAACGGTGCTAGGTGTGCGGGCTGTTGGCGAGTTGTTGCGGCTGTGCTGGCATTGGCTGTTGTGGCTGAGCTGGTGCAGTCTGGGTTTCAGGGGGTAGGGTGGGGCTAGGGGCCAGGGGCCTGGGCGGGGCCAGGGGCTAGGGTAGGACTAGGGGATAGGGGCAAGGGGATCTGGAGGGGTAATAGGCAAGGTGCGCTGTTTAGGCAACGGAGGCGGTTGTGGTGCAGTTGGTGGTGCTCCTGGTGCAAAGGGCCAGGATGGGGCTAGGGGCAAGTGGGCTAAGGTGCCCCAGGTTACTTGGGGGCATGAGGGGCAATTAGGGGCAAAGCAAGGGGCCATGGAGGGTGGTGGTGCTGCTGTTGGTGGCGGTGTTGATGTTGCTGTTGCTGCTAGTGGTGCTGGTATCGCTGCGGCAGCGGCTGGAGGTGGTGCACATAGTGCTGGTAATGGTGGAGCTGGTGGCTGTTGGCTGGCTGGTGCTGGTGGTGCCGCTGCTCATGCTGGATGTGCTGTTGGCTTTGGTGGCTGTGCTGGGTTGGGTCGCTGTGTTGGATATGTGGTGGTCATGCTGCTGGTCTTCTTGCCGGTGTGCTGCACTGTTCGGTGATGGTTTTGCTCTGGCCGGAGTCGGGGATGGTGTAGATAGGGGGTAGGGCGTGCAGATGGCTCGGGGAGGCGGATGAACAGGGGAGGTGGCGCATGAGCCCCGCCCTGTGTTGTCTCCTCCCCAGCGCTGCCCGGCGGCTGGTGCTGGTGGATCACGCCTGTGGTGCCGAGGCGGGTCGCCGCGTGGTAGCGCGAGCCTGCTGGCGGCGGCGCTGGGGGCCATCTTGGGAGTCTGGAGTGCACGGACTTGACCGCTAGGAACCTGGCGGCATGGGAGATAGCGGGAGGATGGGATTGGTGTTGTGGGCCGGCTGTTGTGGGCTGTGGGTTGGTCTCTGTGACGGGTCGGTGAGCCTGGTTCTTTTGTGTGGTTTTCCTAGTGTGGTGCTGGGAGCGGGGTTGGTTTTGTGTTCTTCGTGGGCCCGGTTTCACCGTGGGAGTGTTGCTGGGGGTTGCTGGGTACTCGTCGGTTGGTTTCCTTGAGGTGTGTTTGGCTTTCTTGATCGCCTGCCAACTTAACTAGGTGCTGGCCGGAGCTGCAGCGGGGTTTTGCCCTTGTGCGCCCCTGTTCCCGTTTTTTACCCGCTGTGTTCGCTCCGTGCTGGCTTTGTTTCGGGAATGCAGGGGCTGGTAGGCATCCTTGGGGTTTGTGGTTGTCTTCTGGGTTGAGGCGGATCGCGCTACGTTGGGTTTGCGGTTCTGTGGTTGCTGTGGGTTGGGTTGCGGCCGGAGGTCGGCCTTTGCCAGACTTGGTTTTTTGGCTGTTTGCGAGTTGCTGTCACGCTCGCTCGCTTGTTGTGTTTGCTCTCCTCGTGTAAGGTCCAGTCGTCTTGCTCCCAGGCTCACTCAGTTCCGCTCAGCTCTTTACATCGATAGGCAGCTTCTAAGGACAAAACCTAATTTATGCAATTATGGTTGCCCATGCCCTCTGATGAGGTAATGGGGCCTAACCACGCAGCCGTGTACATGCATTGTGTGGGGCACTGTACACCTTTTAACTCCTGAATTGGCTAATAAAATAATCGACTGCCTCACGACACACGCTAGTAGCCAAGCCCGCTGCCTCTAGGACAGCCGGTGAACGGGAATGAAAGGCGCCCATCCAGACCGACATCCTACCTCGCTACCTGCACAGCAACAGCTGTGCCTAGGAGCACATTTTACCAGCGTGCGTGTACGGCTGCAGCTGACCTACCATGCACACATACCACCACTATCACCCGCTGCTGCTATCAAAAGGCATCCGCCCAGGCATGCCCGTGCTATGGTTCCAGCAGTTACAGCCACCAGTGGGGATGGTGGTCACTGAAGTGGCCCATGGGTCACTTCATTTAGGGTATCTGTAGCAAGACTACAATAGAAGTCATAAAGGGAAACGTCACGACATCTCGAGAGGCCTTTTATAACATGCGTTACAGTATCATTTACCAGAAGTTGCATTGACCATCCTGCGGCTACAGGATCTGCATAGTCCCATCCCTAACGCTCAGCAATACCTCATACCTACCATGTAACTGTGCCTAAGTATGCCGCTGCTACAGCTGAGGCTCCCTACGGTGCCAGCAGCAGCAGCCGGGACCTCCACATACGGCATCAACAGCAGCTGCGGCCCCCTATCTACCTACGGCGCCAGCAGCTGCGGGTGCGCCTCCCAGAAGTCGTCCCGGATGATGTCCGCGTGCATCACGGTGGGCACGGAGCGCTCCCGCAGCACCGGGCTGCCGTCCTCGCGCCGCTTCACCTCCAGCAGCGCCTTCTGACGGATCCCAACAGACCCCTACATACCCAGCGGCGGGGGGGTGGATGCAGGTGCCATGTGCTAAACAAAGGAAGCAACTGAACCGCGTAACTGTACTAACCATAGCTAGCTGTCGGGCAAGGAATTGAATGGGAAGCAGGTGCGTGGTTTGGGGGACAGAACACATGCGTATAAACCAAGCGTGTGCTGTCTGCCTGAAACCCGCAGTAAGGATACGCCAGTCCTTGACGATGAACATCGCAGCACATGATACGGCGCGCTAATGGTGGTCGTACCGGTAATTACGTTTATGTCTAGGATGGCTACCAGTAATGCCGCCCTAGTAAACCGGACCTGGCCCTTTCCATTGCAACCTGTCACCGCCTTCTTTCTCTTTGACCCCCTTAGGGAAGGACTCGCCTTTTTAAACTGGTCCGGCAGGTGTGCGTAATTGATGCCGAAGTCGCGGAACAGCAGCTCGTTCTTGAAGGCGGCCTGGGTGCCCTGGGGGTGGAGGGAAGATGAGAAGGGTGCAGGAGAAGAGGTGAGGCTGGGGGAGGAATCAGGGGATGAGGGCAGGAGAGAAGGGAGTCGTCGTGACATATGTAAAATGGGACACATGCGCCATTGGAAGCAAGGAGAACAAAAAACATAGCCGGGAAAACAAACCTTCAAGAGCATATGTGCGCTCAGGCTGTTGCTCCTTAAGCAGTCAAGATAACCCTTCCCAAGGCAGAACCGTATGCTGCCGCGCAAGAGGGCCGGTACGGCCATGCCGTACAACTGGAAAGCAGAGGGCAGTTGCTAACTCCAACTCGCGCCTCATGGCGCCCACTACAGTACAGACCGCACACCCACCCGCAGCACCGCCTGCGCCTCCGCCGGGCTCTTGCCGCCCTTCACAAGCGCCCAGAAGCACGTGTTGTACTGCAGCAAGGGAGCGGGCGAGCGGAGGACGGGGCGCGAGAGGAAGCCCATAAGAGACGCGGGGGTTAGGTGGGAGCACGATATAGCGGGGTCCTAAGCTCCTAACCACCTCCCATGGGTTTGCGCTCTACCACTGTCCACCTGGGCCGGCTAACCATGATGCGACACACATGCTGGTCCCGTACCACATTGCCGCGCTAGTTGTGTCGTGTGCAAGTCATGGTACTACTAGGACCACTCCACGTCACGGTTTGGCACGTTTCACCGCCGGAGCATGCATGACAGTTGGCAGTTGACAGTTGGTTACTCCAACGGTATTCCCCACCTGGTTGTTGATGTGGGTGTCCGCCTGCCGCCACGCCAGATAGTCCCGCAGGTGGCGGTCAAGCGGGTAGCACACGGCGCGGCCGTCGAACATGGGCGTGGCGCGGAGCGGCGTGTCGGGCAGGTGGGCGGACCAGCGGGCCACGTAGGTGGCGGTGAAGCAGCTCACCAGCAGCGACACGATCTTGGAGGCGCGCCGGCCTGGTGACGTGATGAGGGAGCGAGGGGTGGAGCGGCAAAGTTTTGGGAAGGGGACAGATGCGGGCTGGCGTGGGTAGCCAGAGAACTAGGATTGGGCGACGCACGTTTGGAGAGCAGGAAGGGAAAAGGCTTATGGAGCCACGCGACAGTGGAAGGGTATTTTAGGCAGCGGTCCGTATGACATCACACAGCAGTGGAGTTGAAGAGCGAGGGCGAAGCAGGAACCCCCCGCCGTCCCTCCTCCTCACCGTACATGTCGGTGTCCCTGCCCAGCACGAAGCTGTACTCGTCGCTCTCTCCGTACGCTAGCCGCACATCCGGGAACTCGTTCATCACCTCCTGCACCCCACACATGGTCACAGCGCGATGCAGGGGTAAGCCAATGCAAGGCCTATGCACTAGCCGCGCGTAGAGCAATGCCGCGTATTCGTTTGGCGCCAACCCAACACCACGCATCATACCGGTAGCACCCAAGCGCGGACTGCAGAGCAGGACACAGTAGGCAGGGGCGCTCACGGTGCTTCTTGTTGTGAGGTAGCCGGTCAGGACCTCACCCATGCCACCTTTGCTCGCACCTTGGCACACTCGTCCATCAGGTCCAGAGCCCGTTTGTCGTTGGGCTTCTCAAAGCCATGCAGGTCACTGAATCTGGTGGGGGGGCAGGGTGGTGAGGGGCAGGGCGTGGCAAGCCGAGGAGGAGGGCGGCGCGAGAGGAGAGGTAGGAAGGGAGCTGGGCTCGAGGGCTTGCTCGCTCAGACCCGGCAATGGGAGCAAAAGGGTACGTAGGAATGCAGTATTAGATGTAGCGGTCAGGCTGCACCCCATTTGCGTCAAGTTACATTTAAGCACCTAATACCATTCATTTGTGTCCGCACTCGCTACTTCCCATCAGTGCTTCCGGCTCGGGCCCAACTCAGCCTGGGAGGCCAACTATTCCCTAACCACCTTCCCTCCCGCCTGTCCTCCTTACTTCGTGAAGCCCTTGCCATCTATGCGCACGACAATCCAGCATCCCGGCAGCAACGTATCGTCCAATTCGTACTACTTGACGTATTCGTACTTGGAATTGGCCATTCGGCCGCGCGCAGCCCGCCGCGCCCGGCTGCTGTCACCGCCGGTGGGGCCGGCCAGGTGGTCGTGGGTGGGCGGGCTGGCGGGGTAGAGGTCACCGAGGTAGGCACCCGCTGAGGCCGCTTACTGGCGCTGACGCTGCTTAGGCGGCGGGTAAGGAGTCTAGGCTGCGGGGTGTGAAGCCGGGCGGTGAGAGGAAAAAAGGGCTGGGGACGCTTTGCCGGCGGCAGAGGAGGTGATAAGCGCGAAGCGGCGCCTGGAGACACGGCCGAATGGCTTGAAGAGTTGTTAGGGAGTTGAAATGTAGTCAGCGGCGCTAGGTTACGGCGGGTATGTAAAGGGCGGAGGTGATTGCAAGCACCGAGCAGTTGACGCAATACCATGCCAGATAACTTAATCCAACATACTTAATCGGCAGCAAGAAACATGTATACTATGCTAGCAACAGAATAGCTGAGGCGAGTTCAGTTGCCGCATCGGCATGCTATTACGACTCAGTTAAGTCGTTCATTCTGGTTTGTTCCGCACTGCCAGGACCAATCCGCTGAAAATAGCGTGACGTTCCATTCAATCATATGGGTTACGTTAAAATTTGTCCGTAGGCATATGTAGGACTATGCATGACGTTCGTGGCTGAAGGCGGCGAAGCCAATTGTGCTAAGGACAATTGGATGCAGTTAAATTGACATGCGTCAACATGTATTTGTTGGTGGATTCGGAGGCGTCCTTCCTTGCCGGTCGAGCCAAACTCCGTCACCGCAAGCACCCATCGTAGTGCCTTCACGCATTAGCCGTCTACACGGGAGTTCTCTACGAACATCAGATGGCCAGATCCACGTACAAAACGTATCCACAAAGCCCAGTCGCGGTAACCATGTGGCATGCCGAGCCGCCGAACCGTCCTCAGCCCCAGACCGCAGTCCTCCCAACTCCACAGAACCACTACCGTTTAATGCAAACAGCCACCGGCCTTCCGCATCCATCGGCGATCCGGGACCCGAACCTCCCGACCGCCGCATCCCTCCGCATCCCGGTCAACGTCACGCCCATCCCCGCGTCACCGCGCGCCTCATCATGCTCGCTGCCGAGAATGCAGCCTGCCTGACATCCCAGCAGGTACGTGGCCTGGTTCACGCCATCAAGCGCGCCGCCGAGCAGCCGGACGGGCGCCTGCAGCTGCCCATGTCTGCTGTGAACCGGCTGGTGCGGGAGCTGCGGCGGCGGCGGCAGTTGGCGCTGATGATGGCACTGCCGGAGGAACTATGGGGCGCGGCAGCCGGCAGTAGCAGTGTGGCAGCGGCAGAAGCGCCTGCCGCTGCCGCAGGGTTGGATGCGGCTAACATCAGACCTGGCCCGGGTGTCAGTACCAGCAGCTGCAGCAGCAGCGGGGGCAGTGTTGGGGAGGCTGGCAGCGGCAGCGGCAGCCAGGGGGGTGGCTCCCATAGGGGTGCGGCGTCGGCTGCGAGGGTTGGAGCCGGGGCTGAGGTAACCGGACGGCGAGGGCGGCAGCGGGGACGGCAGTGGGAGGGGGTGCATGTACAGCAGCGCGAGCCCGGGGCTCCTCCGACAGGGGATGTGGTAGCAGCGGCAGGGGCAGGGGCGGCAGGGGCAGGGGCGGCTGTAGTGCAGTCACGAGGTCAGGATGGGGATCTAGGCACCGGCGGTCTTGACTGCGCTGCGGAAGGGCAAAACAGCCGCAAGCGGGAGCTGCAGCCGCCTGCGTCGCAACCACAGCCTTTGCAGCAAGCGGTGCAAAACACACGGGTGCAGCAGCAGGAGTGCATGCTAAGTCGCGACCACCATCCGCAAGGAGAGGAGGACCAGCAGCAGCAGCACCAGCACCAGCAGCTGCGGCGGCGCCCGGCTGGTAGCAGTACTGCTCCCATCGACAGTCGCCCCGGCAGTGACAACGCAGGCAGTAGCGGAGGCAGCAATAGCAGTAGCACCGACATGGCACATGTCGATTCCGCCGCCGCAGTAGCGCTAGATGCGTCGGAGGAGCTGTCTCGCTTCTTCGGGGCGCTGCATCAGGTGGCTGGCGGGCTGCCAGCGGGGGAGGCGCTGGCGGCGCTGGAGACGTGTGCGCTGGTGCGGGAGCTGCCGCCGCGGAGGGGAACGCTTGAGGCGCTGATCAGGACGGTGAGGAGGGCGGCGGCAGCGGCAGGAGCAGCGGTGATGGTGCCGCCGTTGGCGGCGGGGTCAGCGGCGCCAGGGTTGCCCTGGGCGAGTGGCGGGGAGCAGGCGGGCGGCAGCAGTGCTGGTCGTCTTCAGCAGCAGCAGCCAACAGCCATGGCGGAGCAGCAGCAGCGGCGCGAACAGCCGCAACAGCCGCCGCTGCGTGTGTTGCAGCACCACCAGCAGCCGCAGCAGCAGCTGCAGCAGCTGCAGCAGCTGCAGCAGCTGCAGCTGCAGCATATTGCAGCGGCGGCGCAGCAGCAGGACGTGCAGTTGCTGGGGCCGCCGCGGCGGGTGATACCGCGTGGGGCAGCGCAGCCGACTGCCGCCAGCAGCCCGCTCCAGCAACCCGCCAGCTCGAGTCGCGGCAGTGCCTCCGCGGGTGCTCCTTCCGCTCCCTCTGCCGGAGCTGGCCGACCAACCCCGCCAGCAGCCCTGGAGATCCGGTCGGAGGCAGCTTCCCCTCCGTCCGGGCATCCTCCACACATAGCAGCAGCGTCCCCGGCCTGCATCGAAGCGCCACCAAACCGCCAAGGGGTGGATGAGTCAGCAGCCGCCGCCGCCACAGCAGCAGCAGCAGCAGGGGAACTTGCGGCTGCCGCGCTACCGCCCACTCGCCTCGTTGCCGTACTGTACGGCCTCACTCGCCTCGGCCAGCGGCTGAACCAGCCTGCATGGGGCGAGTTCCTGGCCTACTTGCAACCGTACTTGTCGTACAACAGCGAAACCACGTCGTACATCCCGGCTGCTCCGCCGCTGCGTCCTGACTCTCCGCGCCGTCACGGGGTCCATGCGGCCTACACGTCCGCCGCTAGCGACGCCAACGCTGGGTCCTCCGCCGCGGCGGCTTCCGTGCATCGTCACCTGCCTCTCAGCCACTATGACCTCGTAGACCTGGCGTCAGCGGTCGCCGCCGCCGGCTGCAATCCCAGCACCCCCTTCCTGCAGGCTCATGCGGAGGCGGTGATGGGCTGGGTACGGCACCTCTCCGGCCGCCAGGCGGCGCGGCTGCTTTGGTCGAACTCGTCGATGGACTTCCGGCCGCCGGCTGCCGTACAAGGCGCCCTTGCTGCCGTACTGCGTGCGAGGTTTCGGGAGGTCGAGTCACGGGAGCTGGCGCGGGCGGTGCAGGCGCTGGTGCTGCTGGCGGTGGCGGAGGCGGAGGCGGATGACAGTGTTGGAGGGGAGGCGCATCGGTGGGGCGGTGAGGGCGGAAGCATGGAGGCGGTGGCGGAAGAGGATGCGGATGTTGGTCGCGACGATGCCCTGTCGTACTACCTGGAGACGGCATCCGCGTGCATGCACCACTACACCGCGCTTTGCCATGCAAGGCGCGAGAAGTTGCGACGGCGGCTGCGGAAGATGCGTGAGCTGGCGCAAGGGCTCAATGGCGGGGAGCTCGCAGCGGGGGCTGGGGGAGCAGTTGAGCCGCTTCCGCCGGGCGACCCGTGGGCCTGGGTCCCGAATGCGAGTTTGCTGCGCGGCGGCCATATGCCCGACGGCGGTCATGGCGACTGGCGATCCGTCAGCGCCACCGCCGCCGCGAGCGCGGTGTCGTACCGGGACCTCGCGCTGGGCAGTGTGATACGGCAGCTGAAGGCACTGCGGGAGCACTCGGGGCTTATGGCATGGCTGGCGAGGGTTGTCGTACACCGCACTACCTTAACCGACGCCAAGGCCGCCAGCTTCTCCTCGGCGCGAGGCTTAACCCCATCCTTATCCGCTAGCGGTAGCAGCGCCACCGCCACGAGCAGCAGCGACACCGCGGGTTCTGCCGCCGTCGATACGGCTTCCGTGCTTCCGCCGTCGCTGCCGTCGCTGCCCAACCGATTGGGCCACGAGGGCCTGGCCACCATATCCCGGCTGCTGGGCTCCGGGTCCCTGCCTGCGTCGCCGGATGCTGCCTGGCCCGCCAGCTTCTTCAACCGGGCGGCGGCGCTGGCGGCGGAGCTGCGTCCCGCAGACATGGTTCCTGTCGTACAAGCCGTGTGTCGCATGTACGGCGCTTACCCAGAGCTGCTGTCAACCACGCGCTACGGCGATGCCGGCGGTGGCGGCGGCCCGCTTCGCGCGCTGCTGGCGGCGACATGTGCCTCGCTGCATTGCTTATCATATGGGCAGGTAGCTGGTATTCATGGCTGCGTCTCAGCGTTAGCTGGGGACCCCGGTGTACGGCAGTGGCTAAGAGAGCACGGCTGGGCGGCGTCAGAGCAGTGGACGGTGTGGCAGGGCGCTGTTGCTGGAGTAGCAGCCTCTACTGCTGCATGGAACGAGCAGCAGCAAAGCGACGCCGCGTTGCTCGTGCTGGCCGCGCGCATGGACGCCGGCGCTGACGGTTGTGGTCTCCTCCGTGATTGCCATGACTATAGCGGCGGAGCTGTGCACAGCGGCCGCCCCGTCAACCCCGCTAACTGGCTGCTAACGCTGCTACAGCTGCCGTACTCTGCACCCGCCGTTGCAGTTGCTCCTACGGCTGCAGCTCGGGTAGCCGCGGACCAGCCCACCGCGGCGGCCATCCCGCCCCAGCAGTCCTCCACCGATGCTGCCAGCTGCCGCCCTCCCGCCGACGAGGCTGCTGCCAGCGCTCCTAGCGGTGGCGAGTCGTCATGTGCCGCCGCCCCACCGGCTCACCCAGTAGTGTTGGAGGGTGCCCTTACGGGAATGTCTGCACCGCAGCCGCAGCCGCGGCCAAGGCAGGCGCTGCCACATCAGCCACAGCCGCAGCCGGTCGCATTCAACGCTATCGGGTCCCCTGGCGCCACCGCCGCCGCCACCGCTGCCACTGCCAGCACCCCCACACCTGCTGCCGGAGCTACTGCCACAGCCACCCTCCAGGTCCTGGTTAACTTGCTCCGCAGCTGCACGGCGGCACGAGTCTCCTTGCCGGCGCAGCAGCTGCAGGGCGTACGACAGGCTTGGCGTCGGCAGCTGCAGTCCATGACAGCCGCCGCCGTTGACCCACGGGTCGTCGCTGACCTGCTGCTGGCTGTAGTTGCCGCGGCACCGCGGGCGGGATCCGCGCGTGACGCTGCCGTATTAGAGCTGGCGGCGGCGCTGGGCCGCGTGGGTGACGTTGCCTTGCGGCAGTTGCCTGGATCGCAGCTAGCAGGGTGCTTGCATGCGGCCGCCGTGGCTCTTAGCGACTGGACGCCCGCTCCCGAGCGCGACGATAGCGACGTTGGGAAGGTTGGCAAAGGTGACGGGGTGAGTGCAAAGCAGGCTGCTGCCATCGCCTCGGCTGTGGAGCCGCTGCTGAAAGAGGTG